ATTAAACAGGATCGGCCCCAGGACAGAGCCCTGGGGGACCCCGCTTGTCACTGGCCACCATCCTGATGATTCCCCACTAATGGTTACCTTCTGCTTTCGGTCAGTCAACCATGCCCTAATCCACCGGACAGTGCTCTGGTGTATCCCAAAACTCCTCAGTTTCTCCACCAGGGTATTATGGGGGACTTTGTCAAAGGCCTTGCTGAAATCCAGGTATACCACATCCACTGCATCCCCTCCATCAAGCCATCTCGAAACCTTGTCATAGAATTCCACAAGGTTTGTCTGGCAGGACCTGTTTTTGCGGAAGCCGTGTTGTGTGGCGGTCAGCCTCCCGTCCCTATCTAGCATCACTAGATCTCTCTCTATTATGAGCCTTTCCATTGTTTTTCCTACAATGGACGTAAGGCTAACAGGTCTATAAATCCCCATGTCCCTTCTACTACCCTTTTTGAAAATTGGGACCACTGATCTCTGGAACTTCACCCATTCTCCATGAGGCCTCAAAAATGGAGGCCAGCGGGCGTGAGAGAACCCCTGCCAATTCTCTAAGTACTCTCGGGTGTAACCCGTCAGGACCTGGCGCCTTTGTAATGTCCAATACCCTGAGGAGCCCCTCGACTTCAAGGGAGGGGTGACTCTAATCTGTGCCCCTAAGTCCCCAGCCTCATCTAATCTCCTATGCGGATATCCCCCATCCTGCTTTGGGGAGAACACAGAGGCAAAATAGTCATTCATTCATTCATTCATTCATTCATTCATTTATTTATTAAAACATTTCTATGCCGCCCCTTGCCAAGGCCTCGGGGCGGCTTACAACATCGAAACATCTGTGTCTGTTCCTCATATCAGTCACTGGATCTCCTTCCTCCTTTTTTAGTGGTCCCACCACTTGTCTCCCCTTCCTCTTCCTATTTACATGCTGAAAGAAGCCCTTTTTGTTGCTCTTGATATTCTTGGCAAGTCTCAGCTCGTAATCAGCCTTAGCCTTGTGAAGAATCCTTCTGCAATAGGCCTCCTCCTCCCGGTATACCCTTTTGTCTATTTGTCCCAGTACCCATTTCCTACGGAGGTTCCTCTTTTGTCTAATCCCTCTAACCACCTTCTTTTACATCCATGGCGGCACTCTCCTCCGTCTCCCCACCTTACTGACTAGAGGTATCGTCAAGGCTTGCACCTCCAAAACCTCCCTTTTGAGTGCTAGCCACCCCTCCTCAACTCGCTTACCTTCCAGTAACCTATCCCAGGAGACTTTCCCCAGTCTGGCCTTCAGTTGGCCGAAGTTGGCCCTCTTGAAGTCCCAGCTTCTAGTGCTCGACCTGCTGCACGTCCCCAGTCCCCTGATCTCAAAGCAAAGGGTGGAGTGATCACTCGCATCCAGAGCTCCCCTAATCTGTACTTCATCTATCAGCTCCTCCCTATTGGTCAAGACCAAGTCAAGGATGTTTCCCCCCCTCGTCGCCTCTCGGACCCTCTGTGTGAAAAACCCTCCCTCTATAGCTTCTAGGAAGCAACGTGACCTGGCTGTCACCGCCGAGTGAGTCTCCCAAGTAATATCCGGGAGACTGAAATCTCCCATAATTACTGTGTCTCTCCCCCGAGATATTCTTAGATTCTGGCCAGTCAGGACATCATCCAGGGTCTCAAGTTGACCTGGAGGACGATAACATACCCCCACTGTCAGGTCTCTTTCCCTGTCAAAACCCCTAAGTTGCACCCAGACTGCCTCTACCGAATCCCCATCTGTGCTGCATCCTATCTCACTGCATCCTATCCCTTCCCTGACGTATAAAGGCACGCCCCCACCTCTCTTTCCCTTCCTGTCCTTTCTAAAATGGTGATACACTTCTATGTTCACATTCCAGACTTGCCTTTCATCCCACCAAGTTTCTGTGATTCCCACCAGGTCATACCCTCCTATTCCCAGGAGAGCTTCAAGCTCTTCCTGCGTATTACCCATGCTCCTAGCATTGGTGTACCTGCACCTCAACTCCTTCTCACAGCTTCCTTTCCTTGGAGTTCCCAGCCTCCTCCTTCCTCCCATCCTCCCTGGTACCTGACCCCTCTCTGTAGGAGTCCTGTCAGTCCCTGCAGTACCTCTAAAACCCTGCTCCCAGAGCCCTGATCCTCTCCCCACACTTGTCCAGTGCAGACATGTTTCTGGGCGGCCTGAACCCCACCCCCCCAGCTCAGTTTAAAGTCTTCCAGATGAAGCTTGCTAGAGCATCTCCAAAGGACCTTTTCCCCATCCTCGTGAGGTGTAACCTATCCCTTGCCAGAAGTCCATTGGCAATAAACCAAGTACCGTGGTTGAGGAACCCGAAGCATTCCTTCTGGCACCACATCCTAAGCCAGTCGTTCACCTCTGAGACCCTCCTTTCCCTTCCTGGCCCAAATCCCCGGACCGGTAAGATCGACGAGATGGCTACTTGGACCTTTAGTTCCCTGAGTTTCTTCCCAAGGCCTCGAAGTCCCTGGTGATCCTGACCACACCCTGCCTGGCCATGTCGTTTGTGCCCACATGGATCACCAGGAGCGGCTGGTGACCCCCAGAGCAAACAAGACGCTCCACTCTGTCCTTCACATGCCGGATGCATGTGCCCAACAGGCAGCAAACCTCCCTTGTCTCCAGGTTGGGGCGGCACACCGCCGCCTCAGTGCCCCTCAGCAGGGAGTCCCCAACAACTATTACCCGCCGCTGTGTCTTCCCGGTGGTGGTGGGTGGCTGTGCCCTGGCCCTCGTCTCTCCCGCAGCGGCCCCCTTGCTGCTTGTCGTCCCAGGCTGGAGGTCCTGCTGGTCCCCCAAGGCCTCATCAGCCCCAGCCTCCCGAAGTGGAGAGAACCTGTTTCTCAGCTCCAGATTGGTGCCAGGAGAAGGAGGAGGCCGTGCTGTGGGTGACATACCTCCATGTCTCCGCGGCTGCTCTTCCCATGGCCTCTCCCTCAACCCTCTGTCCAGAGCGGGGCTGCTCCCGGGGGGCCTGGAGAGCTCTCTCGGCCCTCAGGCACCTCACCTCCTCTTCTAGCAGGATCACCATCTTGCACTGAGGGCAAGTGTATCCCTGCCTCTCCTGGGGGAGAAGGACGAACATGTCGCAGCTCTCGCAGCAGAGAGCAACACCCGTGACTCCCACCAAGGCCATCTCCTGGTCTGCCATTGGGATCCCTTCTGAGACCTTACCTTGGTCCCCTGCCTTGTTTGTCCTGCAGTTCCTCTCACTCGCCCAGTTCTCCCAGACAAAAACCCACTCGCACACGCACACACACACTAGGATAAAATAAATTTATAAAATAAACTTAAATTTAAATTGGAGGAAAAACAAAGCACAGCACCAAAACAAAACAACAACAACAACAAAAACCCAAAGAAAGAAAGAAGGAAAGGAAAGGAAAATAAAGCAAAAACAAAACAAACAAACCTCTGCTTCCCAGGGAAGGGAGTCCCCGGACAGCCCGGGCCACAGCTAAGGGATGCAGACAAGGGACGACGCCCTTCCTCTCTGCTGCTCCTGGCCCCCTGCTCCCCTGCCCAGCTCCTACCTTGCCCTCGCCAGTCCCCTGGCCACTCAGCGCTCTCTCCCAGCCTGTGCCTCTGCTGCTTAGATGGCTTAGACATTAATGCTTGAATAGAGATCTTTTTAACATTTATATTTTAAATGCATTTTTAACTTAGTTTAAGTGCTAAAATAAATCATAAGTCCATGTATAATAAGCCATCCACTAAATAAATAAAGAAACCACGATAGGATTCAGACAATACAACAGACCATCCTGTAGAAGAAACCACTATGGCGTGTCATACTGTGTGCACCTGACCACTGTGTATTGCAGAACATTTAATTAGTTGGGGCTGTGTCAGTTTTTAATCTAGGTCATAGTTTTTTCTCTTGTTTATGTTATCATTAGAGTTTTATATTTAAATGTGGTTTTTAATGTGGTGTTTTAATTGTGGTTTTAATTTTTTGCATGGTAATTCTTTAATGTTTTACTGCGGTGTGTTTTAGATGGTGTTTTAATGGATTGTACTAAACAGTCCAGGGAGCTTTGGCTGTTGAGTAGCATATACATTAATTAAATAAACTTTTATCTGGCAAGCCCAGTACAATAAAGGACCTAATTTTAGAAGCCTTTCACCTTATCCACTGGAAAGGGCAGAAACGCACTAACAACACCATCTTAGTTGGATTATGTGAGCATGCTTCTTATCAAATTTTAAAAGTGCATGCATGTGAAATTCTGTTTGTCTTTCAAATCTTGGAAGCTTTAATTAGGACACTGATTAGGCCCCATCCCTCTGCTCCACACACACACACCCAAAGGGGTGCCCTGTATAGCATTTGTTGTTCATTCATTTCAGAGTTAATGACAGATATCTCTGATCTGTACCCATGTACAATTTGTAAACTTTGAATCAAATCTTGGACTGGGGACTTGGCATTAAGTTGCCCCACTGTGTGTTTTGCACGTGAATATCTATGTTTGCAGGACTACTAGAAAGTGATAAGTATACCTAAAACAGTTTAAAGTCTCTTGCTGGGCAGGCAAATTTATTATGGTTACCACTGCTGACCCAATTAAGTGTAAGTATCATCAAACAATTGCCATGCTGGTTAGTCAGGTTGTTACTGGGAAAGAAGCCGGGCTAGGTCAGCTTCATCCTATTTTTATTCTGGCCTTCTCTTTTCCTCCCTCAATTATATAATGAAGTTTGAGAATTTGAGATTCAGAGATTAAAACTTTACAAGGACACTGATACGTGTATCCCATTAAGGTCTGAAGAGCTCAATCTTTATGTGTGCTCACAGTGTGTGATTTACATCTTAACTTATTCGTAGTGATATTGTGTGTGGTACTGCAGTGTTTCGTCTGTGCATTTGTGGAACATGGGGGGAAGAGAAGGAAGCTTGTCTGGGGTGATTTGATGAAAATGAAAAGTGCTTTAAGATGTTATTCACAGGTGAGCACAAGAAACTTACTGCAGTTTTAAATCACTTACACAGGTACCGAAGGCCTCGGATTTAGCATCACTTCGAGAGATGTTCCTATTGGTGGCTCAGCTCCAATTTATGTGAAAAACATCCTTCCAAGGGGCGCAGCTATTCAAGATGGAAGATTAAAGGCTGGAGACCGGCTCATTGAGGTGATGAAATCTTGCAGGGCTGTGGGGAGTTCTTTGTGTCCTTTTGGCAGATGGCTTACTTTTGCAGGAATTGCATAATTTTTCAGTGCATTTACTACCAATCTGTAGTCTGCTTCCCAGGGCATTGTGTTCAGATCTTCATGCTTTCTGAATAACTGTATTAATAAGCACCAGTATTTTAGGTAGTAACTTCACTTGCTGTGAAAAGAAGTAACGGTGTTGTCTTGAAATCATATTTTTTCTTAAAAAAAAAATGATTAAATTGGGATTTGATTAGTAGAGAAGAACTGGATACAGTAGCCATTTCTGTGCATAAGTTTTTCTTATGTCTCTAATAGATTAACAAAATAAATGAGTATGAACAAAGGAGTATGTTTGAGATAAGGGATGGAACCCTTCTTTAAATGCAATTCTATATATTTCTGTGGTGGTTTTTGTCACATAATGTTTTCTTTTTTAGTACTATCCTACACATAATGATAACAATAGCACTAGCAGTAGTAATAGCTGGGAAATGTGCCTGAAGCAAAGAAGAGTCAAGCTTCTTGCAACATCTTTAGGAAAATGCATTCCTACTTGATGTAATCCAGCTGGTTTTTACCTGTGCTCAGATACTATCTATATAACACCTTACAGGGATGTTTTTTACAGTCATACAATATGTCGTTATGCCATGTATAAAAAGTTCTCAGGCTGCAGTTTCAGGTAGGTACAGAACTGAGAGCATAAAAGGCCTTGGCCATATTTTGGGAGTATGTATGAACATAGTTGAATAAGGAGTCAAATGCATATGCACCAAAATTTAGGGAATAAAAGTTGTATGGGAAATGGTTTTCAGTGGTGGTTAGGAACTTAAATAACTGGTTGCATTTGTTTTACTGTCAGGACTGAGTGTGCATAGCTAATAATAGTTGGAATGTTCAGGTCACCACAACTGAACAGGGATAATGTAGAGTTGGAAAAAGTGCAGGAAAGAACTATTAAAATGATCAAGAGGATGGAACAACTCCCCTGTGAGGAAAAGTTACATCTGGGATTGTTTAGCTTAGAAAAGAGGTGAGTAAGTGGAAACATGATAGAGGTACACTCTCTTTCCTATAACGCTAGAACCCAGTATCATCCCAGGAAGCTGACTGGTGGGCTATTCAGGACAGATAACAACAAGCCTGGTTAAACTATGGCTTGTGCCATAGTGCCTAGTTAAACTTGTACAAAATGTGGTGATGGCTAACCATTTAGATGGCTTTAAAATGGAATTGGATAAATTCATGGAGGAGAAGGCGATCGATGGCTACTAATCAGAATGGCTGCATGCTACTTCTGGTATCAGAAGCAGTGTGCTTATGTACACCAGTTGGGGAACGTAGGTGGGAGGGTGCTGTTGCACTCATGTCCTTGTTGCGGGTTTCCCATGGACTGTGGTTGGCAGCTGTATGAACAAGATGTTGGACTGAGTGGACTTTTGTGCTAGTCTAGCATGACTCAAAGGGACCATTTGGTGGCAGACAGTATGCAAAAGTTTTAAATAAATAAATTTAAATAAATAAAGACCTGTCAAAGGATAAAAATATAGAGATCTCATAATTTTACCAAATAAAACGGAGATGAGGAAAAATGTAAGGCTACAGGATATTATCTTCAATGTTATGACATGGTAGGCATGTCATGAGTGGAGCCATTTGGAGCCAGGGTTCAGACTAGATGGCCCGGGAGGCTCCTTCTGACTTGCTCTGTTTCTCTGTTTATTTTATTCTATGAGATTGCCATAAGGGATACACATGTGTATATGGATTACTGAAGCTGCATTTTATATTAAATATGATTAAATTTCTTTCAAGCTTATTTTTGTATTTAATAAGTTTCACAATGGTTTAGTTTAAGATATTTAGAGCATTCTTTATAATGTTTCTACCTGTCACTTAGTGAATCGTTCTCTTTTTTAACTCCTTCCAAGCTTTCCTTGGGGAATACAGATGCAGTCAAAACAAAGGAGGAGCATATAGGCAGTTTGGCTGAAATGTGCAGATCAGAAATAGCAATCTAGAAATGAGCAACAGACATACAGGAGAAAAAAGAATTAAACAGTAAGTGGGGGTTGGGAGAGGTGCTCATTGGTTGAAATGAAATATGTTATTTCCCATTGATCTGCAAAATAACTCTTCCTCAGATCTTGGGAGATGAGATCATAATTGTTTTAGTTCTTTGATTCACATCCAGTTACTAATTTTATTGAGCTTGGCCAGCATTTACAATATGGATTCTTAAAGACAAATTCATCATTGGTGCAAATTTCACTGCTTTCTTCAACTCAGTTTGTTTATTGATCTGTCTGTCATCTAGCTCTTTATGTGACCTGTGCCATTTCCAAAATAGCTGTCCGATTTTTGAGACCTGTGTTATAAGAGTGATGATCTGGGGTTAGGGCGAATATTGCACAGGCATGGTTGGGTGACGCATGGGTTAATAGCTTTAAAGCAGATAGAGAGTTGTTTGAAGGTTATGCCCAGATTTGGATGACACAGAAAGCTACAGCAATCTCTTTTTGGGGCTTGTAAATTTGTAATGGTGGCCAGCTTGCATGACAGCAGTTTGTGGGTAAAATAACCCATGATAGGCTGTCATGTCATGGGAACTGGCACACTGTTTCTTGCTTTCCCTGCAGTTTAAGAGGCCTGATGTGGACTATGGTAGTTCTTCTGGTAGTTACTGCTCCTCTTCTTGCCAGGAAGGAGTGCTGTTGTCCCACTTACCTGCAGTGCAATGATACGTTGGGACCACTTCAAGGTTACAGCAGGGCAAAGTACCCCTTTAAGTGAGATTTGAAACCCAGCTACTGTTACTGCCGCAGGTCAGACCCAAAATAGTTCACTGTCTGCTTGAAAGGACAAAATATTGCTGTTGTGTGCTACCATGTAGCTCACTTCTCCATTCCGGCTCTTGCAAAATGGTGCTAAAAGGCTGTGACAGGTTAACAGCATTATCATAATTAATGATATGTAACATACCTCGTTTTTCTCAGTCTCTCCTCATAGGGAAGTGTTTCCAAACCCTGAATCATTTTTGTTGCCCTCTTCTGTACCCTTTCTAGTTTACACCTAGTTTTCTAGTTTCCACTTTCTAGAGGGAGCCATTTCAGAACCAGGAGGGGTAGAGACTGAGGTGCAGGTCCTTGACCCTGCAAGGATACATTATGTGAGTTAAGAAGTGTCCAACATTCCCGCCATCTTGCCCTCAAGCAGCAGGAACCACCCTGACGGGCAGAGTCAAGACTTCTGAAAGGGAGGGAAAGCGGGGTCATTCCAGTTTAGATTCAATGCTTCACATGGGCAGAAACTACCCCAACTCTCAGAAAGATCATTACTTTGATTTAGGCTATTTGTAAGCTGTAGTATGCAAATAAAGGACTGTGCCTCTAAGGTTTCACCTAAGCTTGCTGGAGAGGGAAAAATGGAGGAGAACAATGTTCCCAACAATAATTGTGTATCCATCAGCTGTGTGCTGCTGTGTCTTAGCTCTTCCTGATCTATACAGTATCTGATCCGTAATGCTGGTCAAGGTGAATGCTTCTATATAATTTTCTGAATCTTCCCCAACGCTTTTCAGCAGTAGCAAAGACCTGTGTTTGCCTTCCCCCCATCTCCTGGGACATCAGTTGTCCTCAGTGAATTCTCAAAGGTTTTTTTTTTTTTTCTTCAGCCATTTCCTGTAGCATTTTATAATGCGTGTCCCATTATTTCCTGCTTACTTAAATTTACTCACATTTTCTTTTATTGGACCAAGCAAAAGATCATAAAAAATGAACACATTTCTGGTGATCTTCTGATTACTCGAATACAGATTTTGGAATTTTGGTTAAGCTCAAATGACAGTCTTTGGTTTTTTATGTCACATTTCCTTTTGTACATTTCTGCTAACTGACCAACCTAAATTCTTCCCTCCGTCCTTTCAGATTCACTGCATATGAAAAAACCTCTGATGTTTTCTATTGAACCTGGTCAGTCTCAGTATTTCAATTCATAGTGCAGTTGAACTAACTAAATCTGCCAAAGTTCTGCCAAATGTTCCTCCGTGTGCTTTGAAATGTTATAGGCAAGCAAGCACAGATATCTCAGCATCTGGCAGTCATTGGAGATTGAGTGTATGCATGTTTTGTTTTGTTTTCCAAATTAAGGGGGGCCCAGTTTGTGACTGTATCTAGATCTGTTCTATGGCTGTGTTGCCTTTGGAATGGTGTCAGCATTTAGAGGGGTTGTTGAAAGAGCAGCGTTCTAAGTTATAATGAAATGCTGACTTTTAAGCCTGGTGTGCATTGCTTAAAAACAAAACAAAACAAAAATGGCACAAGCAAACATCTCAGTTCATTGTTTAATGCTGCCTCTGAAGTCTCTGGCAAGAGTTCAGCCAGTTTTCCAATATAGGAATGTATGAGCGTACCATAGTTACAGCCCAGAACTATACTAATAGTGAAACACAGTGGCATTTTGGCACTGATTCCATATGTCCTATAAATGAAGAGAACAGAGCCATAGTTGCTACACTGGGTTGCCTTTTCTTGCTGCCTGAAGAAACAGTTCAGGACATTGTCTCTTCTTCTAGATGAGGCAGGCATGGCTGAAACTTTGGTTTCAGTTCAGTTTTCATAAGAATTTACCAAAGTCTGCCATATTTGGAACACAAAGTAGTTGTGGCAGAAAGTGGAATTGGAGAACTTTGCCCTTGAAAGCTTGAACTTGAATTCCTGTGTTCAACCCTGTTTGTGGTGCTTGAAATAGGGGAACTGTCCGCTTTTTTTCATGGTTTCTTTTGTCTTTAACAGGTACATGGTGGACTGGTAGGTCAGGGTTCTCAATAGCTGTACCTGTTGATTTTGGATGATTTAGGTGGATGAGATCACCCTTCTGGGTGAGAATTTAGCACAATTTACAAAGCACTTGATATTTTTGAGACAAAACTTGAGATTTTTTTTAAAAATAGCCATATATGTGGAAGAAAGTAAAACTGATAAACTCATTCCTATTTATATTAATATTATATTTTGCAGTCTTTCAGCTTCAGATTAATGGAGGGGAGAAGATGGAATAGCTGCACAGTTCCTTTTGATTGGTAGTGTTACAAGCTGTCTGCCTGGAAGTACCCAGTGTTGTGCCTTAAATCTTTGTCAATACCTGTTAGAGATAGATTTAACTTATCCCAGACAGCAGGCGAATGGCTAATTGCCAGTGTGCGCAGAGAAAATGGCCAGCTGATCCAGATCAGGACAGCTAGACTGTTAATGGGAAATGGTTCAAGAACACATTACTGCAGTCCTCTTCCAGCTACACTTGCTGTCAGTTGAAGCTCAGACCTGATTCAGTGTGCTTAATACTAACATTCAGAGTCCTAAATGGCTTGGGGCTAGTTTATATGAAGGGTCTTCCCCTCCGATATGTAGCTACCCAGAAGGGGAACATTCTTGGAGAGCCCCTTCCAAAGGAAGTGAGGTAAGTTTTGGAATGAGCTCCTCAAAGAGATGTACCTGAAACCTCATTTATATTCTTTTTGGCAACAGATCAAGACCTTTTTTATTTTTCCAGTATTTTAACAATCTAACTTTTAATTGTTTTTATATATTCTTTTTTAAATTCTGTATCACTTCTATACTTCTGTGCTCAATAACAGCAATACCAGTTGCTATTATGGTTTTGTTTTTTCAAATTCATGTTTGTGTCTTTTAAACTTTGTTTTATTTTAACTTTTGTTAACTGCCCAGACAGCTTCAGCTATTGTGCAGTAGAAAAATGAAATAAAAGTATATGAATGATATGAGAGAGACTACAATGGCTTACCAGTAATGACCCCTTTCATAAGAATTTGCTTTTTTTGTAGCTGAACATTTTGGAATAATAACCAAAGCAATGCTGGCATTGCATTTTTCTGTTTGCTGAAAGAGTCAGTCTACTAGAGAAGCACATATCCATGTGTAACTGATTTCAGGTGCAGCCTATTCATATTCTTAGTTACTCAGAAGTAAGTTGCACTTTTCAGTTGGATCAGGGATTTGCAGTCTCAAATGCAGGCAATGATTGGTACTTGAATGGAAGTCCGCATCCACTTCCAGATGATGTGCTGCTAGTATTCAAATGAAAAATTGTGGCGGACACGGCAATTTATGATCTTTTCTTCAATAGGTCAATGGAGTGGATTTAGCAGGAAAAACCCAAGAAGAAGTTGTCTCACTGCTGAGAAGTACCAAGATGGGTGGGACAGTAAGCCTTCTTATTTTCCGCCAAGAGGAAACATTCCATCCAAGGGAACTGGTGTGTATTCTATTTTAATTCTTTGAAGTAGCTATAGCTTTTCTAGATAAATAGGAGAAAATAATTGGAAAACTTCCTGCTATTTATGTATGCTATTTCCCATAGGTGTGTTCTTATAGTGGGGGTCTCTGAGCTGGTTTTCCGCATTAATGTATGAACGAATGTTTTCCAGTCATGGGTGACAGCAAATGAAAATTATCAACTGTTGCATGGACCATGCTTCAGTTCCTACAAACAACTGGATTATTTTGCATTCATGTGTCTCTTTTGGAAAGCTTGTGGTTTGTCATAGTGCATGAACATTCTCTCTCTCTCTCCCCCTCCCTCCGTTTAACTCTCTGGGCATTTAAAATTAATTCAGAGCAGGATCTATGAATACTGCTGTTGGAAAAGTAAAGTTTGTAGGAAGCAAAAGTGTTGTTTTTAGTATAATAGCCATCGCTATGTGGCAGAGGCACCCCACAGTTATTAATTTAGCAAGCATGGTTCAGAGAGTATTTTTTGTGTAACTTAACTGTAAAAGCAATTGTATTTGGACTAAATGTTCCACAAAGTGGGCAGAAGCATTTCCACAATAATTGGACAAGGTAAATTTTCTTATTAAAATATAGGCAGTTGAAGCATCAGATGCTTGAACATATGAAGTTGCTTGATATCAAGCAAAACCAATCTGTCCATCTATCTACTTTAAAGTTTCAGGCAGTGATGTCGCTGAGGTTCATGTTACCTGCCTAGGAATGTGGACTTGTCTATCTCTATTGCTATGTTTTCCTGATACTTTGCAAGCTAGGTACTAGGAATCCTAGGATTTTTCCCCCATGGCACCTGACGCATACTAAGGACTCAGATGTCTATCATGCTGCACTTGCAATTCTTAAGTGATGGGGGGCAAATGGAGGCATGTGAAAGAGACTTCTCTATGGCTGCTATCACCACCTCCAAATAAGCAGTGGAGGTGATGTTGGTGAATCAAGGCAGAGAGGAAAATAAGGGCATCATGGGAGGCATCTGGACCTCAGCATGATTCCTAATTATTGGGAGCACAGTGGGGTTGCTGGGCTTGAGATGTGGGGAAAAAAGGAGTCTATTCTCTTTTGCTCAAAGTTGTAGGGATAAAAACAGGTCAGATATCCAACTGCAGTTCCAGAGTGAAAAGGGGCAATTTACCTATGCTTGTCTCAGGCAAAAGCATTTCCCAGTCATGCTACTTGAGACTTGTTAAACCAACAATCAGTCAAGACTAAACCTGGGACTTCTGGGATTCAAAATATTTGTTAGCCTAAAGGGTGACCTGTTGTGGTTCATATTCAAGAGAAGTGCTGCAAGGAGCTCCAAAATAAAATGTTTGATTAAACTGTTAGAAAATGGATAAAAAGAATAAGATTTATTTCCTTTCTGACATGATCTGCCCTGTATTTGTAGATAAATATTCATAGATGCTTAAATGCATCAATTTTTTTGGTAATCCAAAGATTCAGCTTCATTTCTTTGTCTGTCTGGCTTTTAGAGAGAGAGGTAATGAAAGCCAATGTGGATATAAAGGGGACAGAAAAGATCAGCTACAATACCATGGTATGGTGGCTGGGAGATTGATTGAATTAACTAGGAATGTAAGAAAAGTATGTAACTGGCTCAGACCAAAGCCTTTCTTGTCCAGCTTTCTGTTCACACAGTGGCCACTCATGTTTTGCATATGCAATAGGCAGTGCTTTTGTATTCAAAGTGCAATGTTTCGCATTTGCAAAACAGCATACAATGGTTTATGTGATGTGCCTTAGAAACTTATATCAATATGATATATGTAAACCATATAAAATACCCTTCAAAAGGATCACAGTTGATAAAAGATCAGTAGGATCTGTTTCTCAGCCATAGGCAGTCTTTTGGTATTTGTAGAGCAAGGTGCTGTGCATTTTGAAGAGGCCAGCCTATAGAAGAGATTAAGCATAGTGTGAAGTGATGCAGACCTTTGAAACTTGGATAGTTTACTTGATTTCTATTCCACAAGGATCTTGCTGGTGTCCCAGCCCTGCAACTGCCTTAAAGAGGCTTAGGAAAGGGACCCAGTTTTGACCCTCCTGCATGGCTTTGAAACTCCCATGATTTCTAAGTGGCACAGAAAAGAATTCACAGCACCAAGCAGTCTTAGCAGAAGTGGTCTGAGGCTGGTTGTTGAATTTGCAGCCTAAAGTACTTGAGTAGCAATGGGCTTTTCAAGCTTACAAAACCTCATGGATTTAGGACCTGAATTAGCATGGGTGAACCTTCTCCTTTCTTGTTTTTTAAACCCTAATAGTTCTAACTGAAGGTGAAGCATGCATTTTTATTACAAAAACAAATTCTGGAATAATAAACAGTAATTTTAATTGGTAAACAGCATTTAAATTTGACCTTATTTAAATGTATGCTAGAAAGATGTCTGTTTTATTATGATCATACCCATAAATGTTAGTTAATTAACCTGAGTGATAACCCCAACAGTCAAGTCTTAACTTCCCAAGATTATCAGTGCATTTCTGATCTGCTGTAACAGTGGGTATGTACATTTAAAAAATCATAGTAAGCAATGTAAGAGCAACATTTCATGTAAATATCCATGGTTAATAAGAAATAGAAGAGGGGAGTGGTTGCGTGCATGGCCTCAAGGTCTTGCAGTCATCCAGAACCAGCTTTCATTATTTCTGCTGGTGAGGGAAAAATGATAAATAAATTAACATCTCTTAACCAAACAATTCCATCAGGCACTTGTAGAAAAATGGTATATATATTATCTCATAAAAAGTTTTCTACTGCATGTGTTAACCCAGATATTTTTAGGCGTGGAGTGTCTCTTCCATCCTTCATGGGATAATTTCTGTGTTTAATGTCATTACATACATATCCCATATTGATTCTGTGAACAACAGTAGTGTCCAAATGCCCATGAATTTCTAACCTGTAATGTTGTGCTCTGTCTTTTAGACAACAATTCAGTGACTTGCACCCAAATCAAGAAAAGGAGTGGCCACATTAGCTCTTTCTGTGTTTGTTTTAAAGTTGAGTACAGGTGCAAAAGCAAATCTTGGCCATTCTTGAGAAGGGAGAGAGAGAGATGAAACATGTGTTGTTGGACTGCAGTTCCCATAAGTCCTAGCAATCAGAGCCAGTGATGAGGAATGATCGGTATTTTACTGCAACAACAGGGCTGTAGGTTCCCCATCTCTGTCTTAAAATGGTTGTAGGCACATGTCCTTTGGAAAGGTCATTCTCTTTTGTGGAGCAATTACAGACCATGCTGTCTACCTTTCTTACAGTGATCTAACCTTTCACAGGCAACAGTGCTCATCTGATGACTCTGAGTGGGAAGGATAATACGTGTCCAGTGCCGTGCTCTAAATGGGTGGCTTTATTGCCTTTAACCACATTTATTTACCTAGAATGTTTTTGGATCTTTCATCCATCCAAGGAGTCCTTGAGGCAATGTGCTATAGAAATAGACATATAAATGCTTTTAAAATGCATAAAAATACACAAAATTTAAAACTTAGTTTAAAACCAGGAACTCTAAGAAATCGAGAATGGCGTTAATGATCAAAAGCTCAGCAGAAGAATATTTTGTTTATTTCTGTACTGCCCCATAGTCAAAGCTCGCTGGGTGGTTTACACAGTCCATAAAAATAAATAACAATACAATAACAATATCATAGAATAAAAAATTAAAGCTTTCAAAACAGCTAGAAACAGTTAATAAAAGCAGACAATAACAAGGAATAACAAAAAAGAGGGAGAGATTCTGCAAAGCACCTGGTATTTCCCCTCAGGCCCCTGGGTGGCCAAGTCTTTAAAAGCCCCAGAAAAGGGGGCCGTCTTAACCTGATGCTGAAAAGATGACAAATTTGGCATCACCTGGGCCACAGTGGGGAGCTACTCCATAGATGGGGAAGGCACCAAGGAGATGGGGAAGGCACCAAGCCCTCTCCCTTGTGGCCACCCTCCACCTCTCCCTTGGAGGAATGCTCCAGAGGTTGACTCTATGGTTGGGAGAGGCATTCCAATCAGTATTGTCATCCTAACATGGTCTTCATAGGCTGCCCAAGGGACATTAAGGTGAACTTATCCGAAACCTCCCTCGAAGGGCATTCTAGAACTGAGGTGCTGCTCCTCAAAAGGCAGTTATGAGTGGCCACCAGTCTCAACTTTCTAGAGGGCAGGACATGGATTGTCTTTCTAATAACAGCTAGAGGATGTCATGCACTGTGCTCATGAGCCATGGACCCAAATTGCGAGCTTGAGATAAAAATGGGACCAGGGTGGTGTGAGATAATCGTGAACACAGGCACACTTCCAAGCTCCATTTTATTTGCTGCAGTTGATATAAGTGTGCCCTGCTGCTGTGGTCAATTTCCCACTGAACAGCTCTGTTCATCTGGCCCCAGGCCCATTACTCGTGGAGAGGGCAGTGTGCAAGTAGCACCGTGCTGCATATGGTTCAGAAGTGGGAGATGAGTGGCAAGGGTCAGGGTGTATGTTTCGTTGTGCAGCAGTGACATTCCCACCGGCCCTTTTCATGTTAGGGCAGAAGGAGTTACTGGCTCTGTTTTCTGCCCCTGTCAACTGCAGTCGTTCTAACAAGATACTCCCCTTTGACAAGCTTTGGTTGCCTTCATCTGTGTGGAGGCAATGAATTAAAATGGTCCATCCCAGTGGAGGGCTGTTGTGTCTGATGCATGTCTTTGAAGCAGGTTAACATCGCTGGGTTGGCAAAAGTGCATATGCTCTGTTTGTGTGTATATAAGGGATAAAGAATCTAAAGAAAAGTGCTACTTCCTTGCTGTGCATTCTGCACATCCTATTATGCTTTTAAAAACTGGAATAGAATTCGTCTGTGCCAAGCATTCTGAAAGCCTGTCCTTAGCCCATTTAACCATTTCCCACTGAGTGCTGGAATTGCCAGTACTACAGTGCCTGGGACAGGCAAAGATGAGACTAGTCATTTATGGGGAAAGCTACCCAGGGTGGTGGTCTTCCAGGAGGAAGGGGAACTAATAACATGGCATAGAGGGAGGGAGTGAAATGGATATAGCCAGCCTGATAGCAGTTTGGTCTTTACTAGGAATGGGTGAATTCTGCTTTAATCTTAGTTTTTACTGCAATCAGCAGTTTCAGACAAGCTGAGCACATGGAGAAAGAAGATGTTGTTCCCCAGTTCTCTGAATAGAGTCATAAGTGCCACAAACCTTCCACGACCCTGCCATCAATAGTCCTCCTGCCAAGACCGGGGAGCACACCCCTGCCCTCCCCCATATCACCCCAGGCCTCCTTTTCTCCAGACATTTAAAAAAAAGAAAGAGGGAATTGTTTCTTCCATTCTCTCCATCTGGCATGGGGTGGGGGGTGAACAGGGCTCCTTTTCTTTTTCTTGTCTTTTCTCCAAAGCACTGAAAAGGTTCTTGGTCACACTGGATCCTTGAGCCAGAGAGCCAGAAAAACAACGCTCTGAGAAATGAGCACGGCAGGTGCTCCACACCCACCATGTAAAATGTTTTAAGAGAAAAGGAAAGGAAAGATGCCATGGCAACTGCCACTGATGGGATGTTAATGTTTGGTGGTTTTCTTCGCTGTCAACCCCCACTCCCAAGTCCTGTGCCCAGACAGCTCTCCAGCTCCATACCTGGTCCTCTGCATTGGTAGCATTCTCTCCTCCTGCCTTTTCCTTGTTGTCATTGTGGCCTGCAGGATGTACACTTTCAGCGGCTGCACCCCTTTTTTCCATCACCACCACCACCACCACTGGTCCTGTCGCCTTCCCTTCTCTTTTGTCAGTGGCAGCTCTCTTGGCACTTGCTTTCTCTTTGGGGGCAGAAGGGTGAAAAGCACTCTCTCTCCTGTTTTCTCCCTGGTTCTTGAAGTGCCAGAGTGTGTACAGGCAGCAGATGCCCTGGGAGAAATACCTGTCCCACAGTTTCAGGTGTCTATGACACGCTAAAGATGCTGCACAGGCACTGCTGTGTATGTCAGAAGGAGGGATCCACACAACCCTCTTGTCACAGCCATGGGTGGAATTCTTCTCCATCTTGGATTAATGCCATGGTCCTGAGAATCACTTGGGTGGCCTTACACTCTACTCCATGGTGAAGGCAAGCACGGCACATTGCTGTAACCTATCACTGAGCAAAGGTGTTACATTCCTGCACGTCACTGTAAGTCTTGAATTAAGATTTAGTTGCCTATACTAGGCCAGCATCTGACAGATGGTGATTGTGAAAGCTCAGTTGCCTCTTATGAGCTGCAGTTCCTTTTGCATGCGTGATATGGTGGCAGCCGAAGGCCAGGTTTCATATCACAATGGGTACGTGGCATGCCACTTTGCCTTCTGGGTTTTTTCTTTAAGTATGAGGGGGCCCTGAGAATAGGACTAATAGGTTGGCTCCTGATTCAGATACTCACTGTGGCATACCTTTATTAAGTACGCCTTGCATCAGTTAAAATAGGCCAATACTGCCCATTGCAATTGTGCATAGGATTTAAAGCATTATGCCAGACACAATCTGAGAGTGCGGGGGTGGGTTGGGAGAGAAAGAGAGACTCTCTTTGTAATGATCTGGCACTCTATTCATGGGTCCACTAGACTAGTTGTACAAAATGTTATTTGTGGTTTTGGGAATTTTTCCAAAGATTTTTGTCTGGGTCTGATATGCTTCATGAGCAAAAAGGTTGCCATTAGGGGCATCCCCATTTCCTGCAGACCTCCATCATACACTCCATTTTGGTATCAGAATCTTGAGTGCATTTAGAACACTGGGTACAATTCTGGGCACAGCCCTTAAAAAAAGATATTGTAGAGTTGGGAAAAGTACAGAAAAGGGCAACTAATCAAGGGACTGGAGTATCTGTCCGATGAAGAAAGGTTAAAGCATCTCGAATTATTTAGCTTAGAAAAAGTTATGCATGGTGAGCAGAAAGTGGAGAAGACTTTTCTGCCTCTCTAAAAGACTAGAACTTGACGTCCTCTGATTGATGGGAGATTCAGGTCAGGTAAAAGGAGGCACTTCTTCATACAACACAAAGTTAAACTCCCATGAGATGAAGTGATGGTTACCAATTGGGATGGATTCTAAAGGGGATTGGACTGATTCATGGCACATAACCCCATCAGTGGCTACTGATCCTGAGGACTACAAGGTAACTCCAGTATTGGAGGCAGTATGCCTGTATGGACCAGTTGCTGAGGAACATGGGGAGGAAGGTCCTGTTAGTGGCCTTCCTACTGACAGTTTGTTGACTATTGTTTGAACAAAACGTGGGACTAGATAAACCCTGGTTTGGGACAGCATGGGTCTTATGTTCTTCTGTTATGTAGCAGTAAAATCTTGCTTGTCCTCCTTTTATGAGTGAGCAAATGTGTTTTGTAGCCTCATTCTTATTTGAATTTTTCCCCCCACTTCTTTTAGAAAACTGAACAAAGCCAGTCACAATTTCCCAAGGAAACGGTAAGAGTTTATATTTGACACATCAAGAAGAGTTGCAGTGATTTTTGAATTAATAATATTGGACTGGTCCATCAAAGGAGCTTTTACAGACAGTTCCATTCACTATGTATGCTGTAGGTGGCTCTCTCCAGCCTTAAATTGCGTTCTGTGTTCTTTCTTACACTTCTTTCCCATGTACTTTGTAATGCATGAGGAATGATAATGTGTACCTCTAACTGGGGCAGCTATCCATGCACTCACTCACAAACAAATTGGCTTTAAGACCAAATAAGGTATTTAGTTCCCAGAGACTTGAAATAGTTTAAGACTGAGCATCAAATAAAAGCTAAGAGGTCTAAAGTACAAGCAACTATTATGTCCAAGACTCCCGCCACAAGTCTAGCTGTCATTCGTTGCTGGAGCTTATTTTTAAACTGCTCCACTGTAGCTGAGGAATGAAAATCATATTTATCCTGGAACTGGATGGAGCAGGACTATATTAAGATGTAGCCCATTGCTTTTTCAGAGCATCCTTTAAATGCTTCTGATAAAGAACATCAAGCATTATATATTATAGAAGCAATTTAAAGCAAGCGGGGTTTTGTGTTTGCTTTTAGAAATGAATCATCATATGAATCAGTACTTTACAACGCAGTCCTGTTTACGTCTCACAACATTTTTCATAATGCCTTCATTTCACTAAGAATGATGGATAAAAATGGGCAAGATAATTGCTTTAACTGAAAATTGCAATGGAGGAGGCAGGCAATTGAGATTCCTGATTTCTACAAACTGTTGTTATGGTTGTTGTTTTCCCTCCTCAAGTCTAATAATGTGATGAGTTCCAAAGCAATAATCCTAAGAATTTTCTCAAAGTATATATTTTGTGCAACAGGACATTTTAAAGTAAAGGTCCCTAGTCATAAAGCTCGATCCTTTGTGATCCTTTGAGTATTTGCTTGATCCTTTGTGAGGTGCCTTGAAAAAAAGTTTAAGAAACGGCTGCTATAAAATTAGGCCTGGTCATTTAGAAGGGTCGACAAAATTCTTTCAGTGAAAAAGAGATTTCTATGACTTTTGTCCCATTTGATAATCAGAATAGTTGCACGATACAGTTAATGGTTAATTGCTCAATCAGAGCTGGAAATCAAAACACCAAGTGTGCTCAGGAGAGTCAGGCCTGCCAAATCAAAGTCCATCTTGCATGGGACAAACACTCCATGACCCCTTGGTGTGGTGAGCTAGGACAGTCTACTTTTACAAGTGAAACTTCTTTGAAATAGTTCATAGATCAAATGTTGTGCTTGATCTCTTGTCATCACCCAACAGGGAAGTGATGGCTTTGTTCCATGATTTCTAGAGGCGTCAAATACTAACAACCTGGCCAGCAATTTTCAAAATGAATATAATATTTAAAGCATGATTTGTTTTTAATGTGGGGATCAGGGTAGGTGTATGTCTCTGTCAAGGTCTACATGGCAACTGTTCTATGGTTATGAATATTGGCAGGAGAAAACGCAGGTAGTAAGTGCCATGTCTTTTATTCCTTTTTATTAATCTCTTCTGCATACCAAGATTTATTCAGTAGAAAATGAATAGTGTGGACTTGGCGTTTGTACTTTACATGTTGATGCGTCTGCCTTTCTGCTCTCTGCTTGGTTCTGCACCATTCTTTAGCTAGTTCTTCTTGTCAGAGCCTTCAGGGTTTTTTTGTCTTTTTGCCTGTGGAGCTATTATTTGTGCCACACTTCTTGCCTTTCTGGGCAAATTCAGTGAGTGTGTCATCTCAGGACTGACAGTAGAAGAAAGCAAAGCAAAAAGAGTAGCAAGAAGAATGTTGGGAGAATCTTGGGTGGTAGGTGAAACATGAAAACAACATTGGGTTCTTCCGGCTTTGAAGCACAGCCATCAGAAATATTGGCAACATGAAATAAAAGTGCCTGTTGACAGGAACTCCAAATTACCAGTTAGAGGAAAAAACCATTCTGGCTGTGGTTTGGCTCTGGATTTTTCAGGCAGTCATTTTCCTCACAATTGCTATTTACTTGTGTTGGATTTAGGTTTTTGTTGTGGAAGAGCTTGCTTTGCAAGGCGGTCTCACATTTGCAGCAGTCAAATAACAGTATTGTAGTCTATTGTAGTGGAATCTAATACCATGGGTAACCCATGCACTGTAAAATGTTACAGCCATAGTGGTGTTAGGGAGCGGCCCTCTAGGTTTGGCGCCCCAAATCTTCCACCTGAAGCTCTGAATCTCTGAGACCATCTGCCCCAGCACCCCACTGTCCATTGGTGCTTGCTGAGATAAAAGTGCAGGAGCCATGATGAACTCTATCGCATCTGATCCCACCTGGATTAGCTGGCTTTTTGCCCACTTGAGCTTCTCCTGCAGTCATAGACAAAATTTTCTTCCTGTGGCGTTTTGTGCCCCCCTCTCCCCTGTCTAGACTTCTCTTTTTACACAGAGGTGTCTTTAGGAGATGTGGTCCCTTCATCTCCCCCCTCCCCCCTCCCCCCCTCTCTCACATACACACACGGGGGGGGATTTTATAGCATATTTAAATTAGCATGTGAAAAACCATATTGTGCTTTCTCTGCCCTGTGGTCTCGAGTCCCAGGTCTTTTCAGTACTACGTTTGGTTGGACAGTTCCTGACCTGCTAAGCAAACCTGTTTGTGGCCTCTCCCATCCCCATTTTCAGTGGCTAAGCTTCTCAAGTTCAGTCAGTCAAATGCAGAGGATTTCATGATGCACTTCACATTTTTAAAGAAATAACAAGCCTCACTACAACCAGGGCCGAATAATTCTTTATCATTTATGATCTTTTAACAAGAATGACTTAATAAACAGTGAATGGTTTTATCTTCTGCAGCAGGGCAGAAGTACAAACATTCCTGAAGATAAAGCACTAATTCATGCTCTCTGGGACACTGGAACAGCTGGTTGCAAGAGGCAATCCTTCTTGCCTTGAAACTTGTGTGATCACAGTCAGTCAGTCAGTCACAGGCCTTTCTTCTGTATGACAAACTTCCTCAAGTCAGAGCAACGTCGAACTGTGCAAAGACACGATTCCACCCTTCCCCAACCTAGTGCCATCCAGATGTTCTAGAGTACAGCTGACAACAGCCCTGCCAGCGTGGGAGTCCAAAACGTCTATCCATGATGAGGCAGGGGCGGCTGTAAGGAGTTCTCACTTTGTACCTTGGCTGCTTGCTTGTTTCTCATTCTGCACAGTGCTGCCTGCCTGTTCTTCATCAGCTCAAGTGCTGTAGGTACTTGCTGCCTCTTCAACTATAAGCAGCTAGTTATTGCCAGCACTTGGATCTGTGTCCCTGAAGTTGTCCCTCCTGAATAGGAGACAGGCTCAGAAGTGCTGGACCTCTAGCCTAGATGAAAGGAATGTGATAATATGTTCCTCATGGCCTGGCATGAGAAAATATTTCATATTTCCACCCTTAAATTGCTATTGCAGTATAATAAGCTATTCTCTTGATGGATGTGTTCTGTACCGTCCCATCTGGGATTCCATTGGCCACCAAAATATTCCAGAAAAGTGTAGCCAGCAACTTCCTGCTTTCACAGCAAGTTGGCTGCATGGACTTCCCATATGGCGGTTCAGAATCTCTGTTTTATACACTCCCATCCAAAATGGAGCAGATGCACCTTCTGCTAAAGCATGGTGATTATTTTGATATGAAAGAGATTGACTGTGATATGAAAACTGGTAATTTGTCATTACATTTTCTGTTTGTGAGGATAATTATCTTAATCTTGTTACAGTGCATAGAAATAAATTGTTAATTATGATATCATCAGCCAATTAACCTTTGTCCTTCTTCTCAAAAGTCAGTAGAGCTAGGCTGGTATTGTGCATTTTGAAGGTCCCCCTTGACACTGTTTGTTTCTGTTAACCCAAATCTGTGGTGATCTCTGCTGGTTTCACCTGTGGGGAGTGAGTACTTTTTGCCCACTGTGTTTGGTTTCCTTGGTAGAGTCTTAGTGAACCCCTGGGGGGGACACAAGAAATACAAGGGAAAAGCACATTTAATTTGGCTTGTTGCCTTGGGAATCTGTTTCCCTGAAGGGTCTTGTGTGTGTCTGTGTGCGCAGGTGTTTCCTTTCTGAACTTGTCTTTCTGCTGCTTGCTCATTGGGGTTTACTTGGGGTCTCTGGAATTATAAAATCTAGGTCAGATTATGATTAGGGAGGGCTTTCTTGTGTTGGTGTCCCTGGGGGAAGTGCAGACTGTCTTTCCTATTTGTACATTGTCTGTCTTTTTCCTAATGTACTATGCTGATCTCTTTGTTCTGATGGAGCTGGAGCTTGTAGACTGTTGACACTATGCCACTCTTAGTTTTTCTGGTACTAGAGAAGGGAAAATTGTTCTAGGAGCCTCCTTCACATATTACTTGTGGGAAGAGGCATCACATATACAGAGGGATGTGGAGCTGTTCTTTTGTCCCTTTCCACAATCCGTAAATGTTAGAGGAGGGCATATGAGAGAGAACCCATGTGTTTAGGCCTTTACGTGATGTGGAGCCCTTAATGTCAGGGGTTCCACCTCATATGGAAAGCCTGTCTATTTAGGCATTCCTCTGAAGATGGCCACATCTAAAGTATGAATGTCTGACCAAGGCCAGAGGAAGCCACAGGACCACAGAAGTGGGCCTGGCAGCACAGTTTCATACAACCTTTCTGTCCATGGTGTCTGCCATTCACTCTTGGAGGGGACTAGAGAGTTTAAGTTAGTGAGAGTTGAAGTGACAACTGTCCAGCATCGATTTAAGGAGTGCTATTGTGGTGTACCCACCTGAGGCTGCCTTCAAACCTGGGAGCAGCCTTGGAAAAGGGTGGAGCAAGTCTGGACACCGAGGGCAGTGATACCTCTCCTACACCACTGATAATTTTCAGGGGAAAAGCATTGTTGCTCTCTTGCACTGAATATCTCTCCTCATCTTTCTTCACTTGCTGGGAGCAAGGAACCCTTTTTCTAAAGCTCTAAGTCACAGGTAGGCAAAGTG